TGGTTTCAAAGAATATATATCAATCTTTCTACGTATCTATTAAAATCCTGTCCCTCCGGGCTTATTTTTTTTTCTCTGACATAATGTCCTGCAACTCCTTCTTTAGCGAAAAAATACTGTAGCTGCGTAACACATTAAATTTTCCACCCTGTACAAATTTTTGTTCTGTACAGGGTGAATCAACGATAAAGTCCATTATCTCATTTGTTTGGAGGTTTAGAAATAAATGTTAAATACAAAAGTTATAGGGAAGGTTAAGATACACATTTTAAAATTATTATAGAATACACTATATACTGTAATGTTCATCAATATATTTTTTTACCTTTTATATTGGTACGAGCTGTAGTAAGTTCCACTTTTTTAACAATTTTGTTAACTTGATTTCGTATTCCTCTACATCTGAATTCTCATCATCTAGCGAAATACTACTTTGCAAATTTGAATTGTTGAATTCGTCCAGAGTTAAATTCAAATTCATAATGACCTGGGCTCGGCATCATTTCCATAATTTATAAAGAAAAACTGTGGTTCTGCCATAATGCTACTAAATTAATATTAACGTTTGATTATTCTAAACGACTACTAAAACCACACATTACCTGTAAATGATACAATTCTCCTTTTTGTCACTAACAACTGTCATACACAATAAATCATACAAAAATTATACAAAAATGTGTGACTGATCGGGCTTATCCCGTCAATCCCGCCAAACACCATCTTTCGATGTCCACCTCGAATGACTTTCTATTGGAGAGTATTAATCACGTGGCAAAAGCCTACCAGAAATTTATTTAAACTGTTAGCAATTCTTATAGCAATAAAATACTCTCGTGCTTAAAATAAATTTATTATAAGGACGTCTTATTGGAATAAATAGACAAGCAACACTTTTCAAAAATAATTAGGCAATACCAGTTAATTTTGAACGTGGTTCTTTTAAAACATATAGGGTAATAATTACTTTAAAAGAACTAAATATTATTAGATATCTAAAAAAATAGTATTCAAAAAATATCTATAGGTATCTATGTGGCGCATTCATCTCTCCAAAAAAATCCTTTATGGGTATTTTTTTTAACGATTTCTTGTCGACGTATCTGTTTTAAAGAAGTAAAGTGTTCTCGAATAGTTGAATTTAAATATTTTAAATAGATTTTTTCTTTATGCTTTGTATTTTTTTTTTGCTTCCGACGACGGAAAGAGATAAACTTTCCGAAACGTTAAGTATTTTTTTCCTTGTTAGGCAAATTTGTATAACTGTAAACATAACTTCTGATAAACAGTGTCCGTTTAGGTTTAACGCAGAAGTGTTTACAAAAATTAACTATTTTATTTTGTAGATTTTCTTGCAGTGCAGTGGCGAAATACCCATAAAGGATTTTTTTGGAGAAAATATTCACTTTATTTCGAATGCTTTAATTTTTATTATGTATATATATAAAAAACAATGTTATATTATCAGCAATCGTTTATGAAACAAATAATTAGGTAAATCAAATTCCATAGAACGAGTTAATTATTTTAACGTGATTTATTGTGCATTTTGCAATGCATTTTTTTTCTGAGTGTATTAGAGAAGCACCATCTGGTAAATATAAGTAGAGTTAAAAATAACCTTATCAAAAATAGTTCAGTACTAGATTCTAGTAACATTATTATAACTTCATAACTCTTAACTCATAAAAAATAAACACGGACAAAACTAAAGTAGCAGTTCATTTTTGTTCGAAGTTTTAAGTGGTTTTATATTAAGGTCCAAGCGAAGCATCGTCATATTCTGTCGTTGATGATAAGCGAGAGCCCTGACCATAAACAAGATTAAAACGGGAGCCATGTCCGAAATTGTCGGACGTTAGGTCAGAAAACCAACCCGGAGGATTAGAGGGGTTTCGGCTAGTTAGCGAGATTATCTTTTATTTGTTTGGTTTTAACCTGAAAACGGACTAGGGTTTGTTTGTTACTGAAATATAATTTCTTGAAATAGAGATAAAGCATCATTTACTTTTATTGTGTATACTGTAATTGTTATATCTATAATTTTTTATTATTAGAAACTTAAAATACTACGCTATTTTAGAAGTCAAGTAAAGAGTTCAAGTTACAGGAATTTACCTTTGATCGTATTCATACATCACAAAACATCTCCCTTTAGAACTTTTGCTTTAATGGCCATAAACGGGAGTAAAAGACTAACCGCTCGAACAAACACTAGAGGCGCCACCGGTCATCAAATGGTGTAAAAATTGCGAAAATTTAATTATTTAATTTTGACACAAGGGATCGCGCTTAACTTTTTTATTTTTAATTCAATTTTCATTGTTTTCAAACTACATTATTAGGTTTTGTTGTATTTTGTGATAAATATTTTCTTAGTATTAGGTTGCATCATATTAATTTAAATTATGTTGCATGCATATTTAAAATTAAAATATTATGACATATATTATGTCAGTTGCCGTCTAAAATGTCATCTTGATCACCAATGACTAAAGAATATAAGGACATGTAACGCCCCTATATGGGCTGCAGCAGAATTTGTGACTTTAGACGCCTTTTCTTTTGGTGGCAAACAATGAGTCATCAGTTGGTCACCAACGACAATTTTAGCAATTTTTAATAGTTCGTGTGTAGTGAACTTTGTATAAACTTTATTACAATGCTGATTAGTTGTTCAGCTTTCAAATGTAAAAGCAGCAGTGACAAGAAAGAGCCAGGAGTTACGTTTCATAGACAATAAACAGTCCGCTTCACAATTTTAGCGTTTTCTTAAGTTTTCTTATTGAATTCGATAATTATTTTTCTGATATTATATGTACTTGATGTGTGCTATACGTCGATACTAGTTTTGCACCTTTTGTTAACATTTTAATACGTTTTTTTCGTAATTAATTAGTATGATGCCACCGCCTACACCATAGGCGTAGTCAAAACAATTATGAAAAATATAAATATCCCTTCAAGTAGCTAAGTTAAGAAAAAAATATGGCTACGGCACTGTTTGGTGCCATGGTAACAATTTCCTCTCGGGTGTTATTTGTCCTTGAATTCTTTAGTCATTGTTGATAACAGAAAGTTAGTTATTGTGAGAGAGAGTCAAAATATTAAAATTCACAAGTTATAATTAGTAATTAGACAATTCTGTTATATTTTATATTATTTCAAAAGTAAAAACATAATCGTGTACACCGTAATTTTGATATGCAGGTTCAAAACAAAAAGTGCTGTTATACTTTGCAGTTTTCGTTGTCAGCCGCGGTTCAAGTTTCAGTGATTTTAGTGTTGTCGGATATTTTTATTTGTAAAAAAGAAATATTGCGTTTGGATTGCAAAACTAAAAGTGGCAGTTTTATTGCAATGTAAGTGAAATGCGCTGTAATTGACATACCTAATTTTTATGTAACATATTCCATTTAAATGTAATATGTTATGTAATATATTACTTTACAATTTAAAAAATGTAAATTTAAAAATTATATTAAAAATATATACAGGCACTAATTGAAATTTTTGGTATGCAAAGAAACACGAGAAGCGCTTTTTATTTATTGTTATCTCTTAACATGACAGATGAAGTTCTAAAAGGGGATGTTCTGTGTCATACAATACATTGACTACATGCAGTATATCGGCTAGTTTCAAACCGATTGTAGTATGGACATTTCAACAATATGGAAGCCACTCATAAAACGCTCCAATGCAGGTATTCGTGGACAACCTCATGCTTGACTGCATCCAACTAATTCACAGGTGAAGCGTAAGCGCAGTAGTTTTAGGAGAGTTTAGTTCACACTTGATAACGGTCAGTGATACTTCTGAAAGAAACTTTGTGTAAGCAAAATAAATAATGACAATGGAAGTCCGAAATTCTTTTAGTTTTAATACTGAATCATTGTCTACCACATTCAAAATTACTATTTAATTATATATTTTTTTATATTATTTATCACCGTTATAGTATTATCGTAAATAAAAAATACGACAACAACGGATCATTATCAAATCAGAAAAACAGAGTTTTTTCTGTACAAGATTCTTTAGGTAAATCAATGCATATATCAATAGAACTGATATATGCATTGATTTCAGAAGGATATTCGGTATAATTCATGTAAATTATATCCTCAAATGACTAGATACCTACATAGTTTTTCTCTATTTACTTATCCGCTTTTTAAGTTGCGCTACGTTTGAATTTGTAATTGCCGAAGCCCGTCGTTTGCGGTCTTCGGCAAATTTACGGATGGAACGAATTTTCCGGCAAACGTCCGTATATTATATCACACAGGCAGTGTTGCCACAATCTTCCAGTAATATTCTACCCGAATACGTTATCAAACATTTTTTTTTGCTTTACTATTAAGTTTTAATACAGACACTTTTATTATAACTGTAGATGTTTTGACAAACTGACAGTATATACAAGGTGATTCGTAAATAAATGCTTAAAATAAATTCTTAAATAAGAAAATATTCTGTATATTTTAGGAATATTACCATTTCTCCCGATGAAGTGGAAAAATAAAATTTTTAATGACATTAGAATAGGTAGACTCATTTAACTATTTTACTGTCAAAATATTTATATTCTCCTGCTTTCCAAAGGTTTTTATAACTGTTTTATATCGAATTTTTATTTGTGGTACTTAAAAATATCCTTATTCTACCATTCAGTGTTACATATTATATACCGTATGATCGAATAAAAACGGCGTCAGCGATGGCTATGAAGTGAAGATTGCTGTCATTTTATATGTAAAATTATATGGGAAATGTCATCGATCGTAATTTCCAAGCCAACTGGACGCCGTTTTTTTTTGATCATACGGTACATAATAAATGTATCTATGACTACGGTAGAATTTAAAAATAGGAGGATCTTGGAGGTTCTTCGGAACATTTGATGTTTGGTTACAGTTGGCTAGATAATACTTAACTAAGTTGGCAACATCGTAACATGATAGGTTGGCTCCGGTGTAATATATTCTCTTTTGCAGGCGTTGCTGCGGGGAGCCATAAGTCAACAGAGCGCCGTGATTCTAATTTGTATGGCGATGGATAGATACTATTGCATGCTGCACCCCGGAAGGTACCATCGAAGATCCAGCAAAAAGGTAGGTAGGATGATGTATGTGTCTGTTCGCTCTAAACAGGGTTGTGTTTGGGACAAAACGTGATAGTAATGTGCGCAAACGGAGCTACGTCATCAGACGTTGCGATTATATCGATATATTGGTTAACCTAAAAGATTTTTTTACTTATTCTATGAGATTTAAGAATATTATTCAAAAAGGACAGTGAAAGGAAGGTGTTAGGGTAGTTTCGATTTGTTAGATTTTTTTTATATTTTTTTGGGACGATTTTAGTTCTCAAGATGATGATGACTAAAATCATTTGCTATGGAACTTTGATGTCATTGTATTATAGTAACGTATGAAATGTACAGGGTGGTCGAAATTGGTCTGTTTTAGCAGAGAAAATCTATTTCCTGACTAGATAGAGCAAAACCGACATAGATGTCATGAGCCCAATTTCTGAGACATGTTTAATGGCATAGGTATACGAGGTCTCTTTGAATTTTCGATCATTTTGAAAATTGCATATAACTTTTTTATTTCGATAAATAAATAAAATTGTGTAAAAATGTCTTTATATCACTTTTTTAAACACAATCCAGTGGCGTAGTCAGTTTTTTCTCTACTTGCTATTTTTTTCGGAATTAAAAAAAATAATTTTTTAAATGACAATTATAGTTGGCTGTGAACTTAAGAAAATGCTGGCGTTTAACCTTTTGCAACGATATAAAGTTATGGGTATCTATTTCTAAAAATGAGAGAAATATTAAGTGTTTTATCTTTATATCAAAGCGGACTTTGATTTTGCGTTCATCTATTTGCCTAATTAGTTTTGAAGAGGTAAATTAACAATATTTATTAGTATTACTAATTACAATTAAAATAGATACTAAGGAAAAAAACACAAACAAAACACAAAAACAAAAAGAACAAAACTAAATAAATGTATTTTTCGAGTGACGAATATAGTTAAAAAATAAACAGCAAAGATGTTCAAACTGAGCAACTCCCTATTGATTACTCAGTAAAAATCTTTTGCGCACATAGTTACAGCTAGTTATTAGTTGAACTGGTATAATAGGCCCAAAAGCGTGCCTTGTAGCCTCCTGCAATTATTTTTCTCTTGTCTTGTTAATGGTTCTTCTGTTATGTATAAGATCCTTTAATTTCACCCATAAAAAAATTCAAAGGAGTTACATCAAAGGACTTAGCAGATATGAAGCCCCTTGTTCCAATCCAACTCTCCCAAAATTTTCAATTTAATAGTTCTCTTGTAAACCTGGAGTTTTAATTGTGATTGGTAATTCTGATATAGATTATTAATTTACGCTTTAAAAGTCTTTAATTAGATAAATAATAATATACAACATTAAGAATTAATTGTAATAAAAAAATAATTAGGCAATGAGGTCAACACAAAATTAAAGCTCCCTTCGATATAAAGATAAAACACCTAATTATATCTCTCATTTTTAGAAATAGATACCCATAACTTTAATTTATCGTTGAAAATTATTAAACGCCACCATTTTTTCAAGTTCATAGACAACTATGATTTCCATTTTAAAAAATGTATCTTTTTTATTTCTGACAAACAGAGCAAGTATAGAAAAAAAATTGACTGCATCACTGGATTGTGCTTAAAGAAATGCCTTAAGAAAGGTTTTACAAAATTTTATTATTCCTCGAAATAAAAGTTATTGGCAATAATTATCAAAACGGATGAAAATTCAAAAAGACCTTGTAACTCAGTTGGCAGTGAAAACATCTACAAACGGTTTATGGACATTAAACATGCCTCAGAAATCGAGTCTATGAAATCTATGTCGGTTTTGCTCTAAGTAGTCACGATATAGATTTTATTATAGAGCAATCTCGACCACCCTGTACCGTAAACATTTTGGTACACGTTACTTTAAGGTTACCAGCTGTTGTCATTTCCTCATTTTCCTGTAAATGTCGTTTTTAGAACCATGTTAACTTTAATTAGTTTTATTTTGACTAGCAATACACAAAGCGCTAACTTCGAAAAGAAAATTATTCATCTTTATTAAAGCTCTAGGTACTTTAATAGTATCATTATAAATGCCATTAAAAATGAAAATCAAATTAATATTAAAGAGTAAATAATTTATACGTACTCTTATATTATATTACACATCAACCAGAGCATTAACATTAACTATGAATAATCTAATTTATTTGTTATAGTTAGTTAGTACGGTCTGTTACCGGCATTAATTCAAATTATAATTACTAATTCCTTAATAATAGAGCATGTTGTTAAAGTACCTCACACTCGCGGTGCTTTAATTTATTTGCTAAGTAAATTAGGCGAAATTATTACAGATAATATATATTGTAACTTGTTTTCCTCAACACAATAATAGTTATTTATTTAGGCAGCGAGTAGGATTTAAACATTTATCTTCATAAAGACTATTACAAATGGTGTGAAAATCTACATTAATGTTCATATTTACTAATTGCATCAAGCATCTATCAAAACTGGCGGCTAAACACAGAATTTCGGTCTTTAAATGCGCAAGCGGGCAATCAGATCTGTTGGTCGCGCAAGTGTTATTATTTCCTGTCAAGTCAATACTAATTAATTTGACATTTGTAGTATTTGTGGTATTTCCAAAGGATCTGTGTGCCAAATTCTTCAGAAATTCGTTTTTTTTTTCATAAAAGAATTGCATTAGAAGAGATTCTGTGTTTTAGTGGCAATATTTGAGTGCAACTATTACATGCGTCTAGTCGTAATTAATAGTCTATGAATAAAGATGTCGTTTGACAGGGTTTAACCGAACCATTATGTTATTTTATTGGCCTACTGGTATTTTGCATAATTCACACAATATCTTTATAAATTATAGCCTCTTTCATTAAAATTCATTCACTAGTTTTTGCGTGAAAGAGTAACAAACTTCCATACAAACAAATTTCCGCGTTTATAATATACAGGGTCTGGCAATAGTGCGTCGGGCATCTGTAGCTCCTAGAATAAAAAAATTGGCAATTTTGTTTAAGTATAAACCTAAAGTATGTACAAGGTTGTATTTCAGGAAAATATTTTAAGTTTTATATGGCGATGGCGGTTCAAAAAAGTGTTAGTGGATCGGGATGATTTTTTGTATACCTGTATATTATTACATTTTTGGCTCCCTTTCAGATCACTTTACATAATTCTGATATAAATAAATATATTTCTGTAGTTTCAGAGATATTAATAAATAAATAAAAAATATATATTTTTCAACCTTCAAACTAATCAATATAATGAAAATCTGGTTATTAAATTAATGAAAGATTTTCATTAATATAAAGAACGCGTTCATTGTCCCAATGAATGCGTTTTTTGGCATTTTAATAACGTCTGTGTGGTTGTGTTATTCAGTGAGGCTTTAGTTTCATTAGAGCGGTAAATGTTCTCTTTAATATTTTAAATGTTTTAAATAAAAGTCCTATCGTATTGTAGTTAATTTGTTGTGTTGTCAAATCAAATTCCGCTGTGGGAGATCTCTGCTGCACATTAAAACAGCGGTTTCCAAATATGTTTCAGAAAATAAAAAACAAAAAGAAGAAAAACATAGTAACAAGTCGAGGCATGAAACTGATTATAGTAAATTCAAATGTTCTTTTATTATTTGGCATTTTGATTATTTTGATATACGTCGCTTTTAGAACCGGAACAAGATGCTGAGACCTTAAGCCCTCAAATTCGACAATTTAACATTGGACCCACTTGATGCGACTTGGAAGGCCGCCTGTTGCAAATTCATCTAGATGTTATCAAGTCTAACGATACAGCTAATATAATGAAGAAATGGTCTTTTTTTAGAAACATTACTATTCTCTTCGTCGATACGATTTTTTAACTTTTAACTTGAATATGCTATATCAAATTTGAATAAATTTCTATTAGTTTATTGCGCTTGTTTTTAATTTCCCTAATAGAAAAATTTGCTGTGCTCGTAAGTAAGTCGGCACTATTGGTAATTTTGTTACCTTTGTAGCTAAGGGCTTGTTCAAATGGAAATCTATTTATAGTAGAATTATTTTAGGTAGTTGGCTGGAAAATGACTATCAATGACATTTCATATCAATGACAGCGATTTTCATCATCGATTATACGGTATAACAAAAGTTACTAATAGTAACTATTACTAAACTGGTTATGATATTATTTCATTGTATTAATGATACGTTTCATTAACATAAGGATTTAGGTACATTATATTAATGAAATCTGTTCACTGTATCAATGAATGCGTTGTCTAATGAACTTAAAGTTCATAGAGCTAATGAATTACTTTTTATTGTGCCAATGAAATCGTTCATTGGCTCAAAATTAATGATTTAATTCATTATAGTAACGAACTTTTTCATTATATTTATGTCGACTTTTGGTTCAGTGTTGTTACTTTACTGGGCTGTTAGTTTAGTCCGTTGATAAATAAATAAATAAATATCTTAGAATTATGTAAAGTGATCTAAAAACAAGCCAAAAATGCAATAATATACAAGGTGTTCCATTTAAAAAAAATCATATACACCCCATAGAAAATATATTTTTCTGATATACATCCTAGAACAAACTTTAGATTTGCACTTAAATAAATTACTTAAAGTTTTTTATTCTAGGAGCTACAGATGTCCGACGTACTATTGCCGGACCCTGTATAGTTTGTTAAATTCTATACCTAGTGAGGGTCTAAGTGCCAAAAACAGCCGTAATTTCATGCACATTTTCCACTTTGTTTTTAGCATTGTCTTTGTTTAGTCTTTATTTAGTTCTAGTCTCATTTAGTTCTATTCTCTATTTAGTTCTAGTCGGACATTTGAAAAAAAAATCACAATCAATAAATTTATTCGAAAATTTTATTCAAAAGTTTAAAATTCTATTAGATTTTCCTATTTTAAAAAATTTTTTAAATCGAATTTTTAAAAACCAAATCAAGATTAAGGTAGAAAATATTTATATTGTTATTTATTCTCTCGGCTGCAGCTCTTTCGAAATGAATAAGCGAAACGCGTTTTGCATAACGCGACTGTTTTCTTTTGCCGTTCCGTAATCCTAT